CTGTCAGTCCAACATTGTAAGATTTAAAAAACAATCTGATCCTCAAAGTAATGTGGCGGGCCAGTTTTGGCCCACAGACCGCCAGCTGCTGACCACTGCTGTTGAGGCTGAGGTAATTCTGGCAGACATGTTGAGTAGGTGGTGAGTGTACAGTACTATCATATGTCAACACTAAGCTTTTATGCTAACTGATGTATTTAGTTTGACACCGTTGGGAGTCAACCCTTAAAATGACATCCTGCCTGTCTAAAAGTCCAGTGCACCACATGTTGTCTGAAACACATGTACCCTTTTTGTGATGTGCATCAGTTTGACTATATGGTACTATTATCTTATTCAAGTTTAAATAAATAAATAATCTACTATGCATGCCTCACAAAGCTCAACAGACACACAATATTTTAGTAACAACACAGAAAAGAAGAAAATTTGAGACTGTTCCTTTTAAACGGTTAGCTAATGTAATCAGAGAAACTGGGTGAAACTGGGACACAGGCTTCGTTACATTGTAGTGGATTAGGTGATGCTGATAGTCTTTATACTCACTAATGTTTGAAGCTCGACTCTGGCTGATGCTGAGGGCTGAGGCCTTTCTCTCTCCCTCAGTAATCTCATATAAACATGAACCCCGATAGGAGCAGGGAGACTGTAAACACAAACACACATACACAGAGATAGTATAGAGTCGTTCCCAGGTTGTGTATTCTGGTTCTCATATTTTAGGACTCCTTGTGCTCTGCAGATCTACAGGCTGCTATTTTCTCTGTTTTACTTTTGTGTTCAAACCCAAAGACAATAAATACCAGGGGAGGCAGTGAGTGTAACGTCACCTGTAGGTGTCTGGACACAGCAGACTGTGTTTACGTTCATTACGCTCGTCCTCTTACCTGTCAGCTGTTAGATACAGCATTTTAAGTAGCTCTCATTGATCTCTGATGCTTTCCATTCTCAGTTTGTGCTGCTTATTTTGAAAGGAAACATTTCAGCATAATCAGTGATTTGCTATTAGCATTTAATTAGCATTTAATTACACAAGAGATCTTTTGCTTTAATAGTGTTTTCTTTTCCTCATGTTCTCCTAAAGCTTGACTCAAAGCCACAATCTTTAAATCACTTCTTCACTGTGATATCAAGAAGCTAGATGGATGTACACATCCTGCATCACTTTTTGCAAAAAGGTAGCATACCAAGTCCAAGTAAAGCAAGAAATATGAGAGAAACATGGCTCTGTGATGCAACTGATAGCGCATTAAACTTCTAGACAGGAAAAGGTCAAGAAATTCAAAGGTTGTGGGTTCGCGTCCAACCGGAGTCGAATTCCTTACATGTGACACATCACACACAAAAGCTAAATGTGTCTTAACTGGTTGAACATTACCTGCATTGAACCTTGGTAAGAAAATAAGATGCATGTCATGTTCTACTTCTTCACTATTGTCCTGCAAATGTAGTTTTGATTGGTTACACAGCTCCAGAGAGATTTTATCAACCTAACAAATAGAAGAGAATGTACATTTGGATAATTTGGATTGTTTTCTCTGTGTTAAGTGTCAAATTGCATCAATAGGATAAACATAAATAAAGATAAAGACTTATGCAGGTCAGGTAACAGGATCAAGAAGAGGTTTCACGTTTGCCCCAATGTTCAAAGACATATGTGAGGCTCTGTGGCGCAATGGACAGCACATTCAAAGGTTGTGGGTTCGAGTCTCACCAGAGTCGCTTGTGGCACATTGTCTGAACCTTGGCAAACACCAACCACATTAAGCCACATCTTTGCAAATTAATTGCAGTTGACTTTTCAAACATGAGTCCTCATGTTAGCCTGCTGTATATGAAACCATACTTTTTAAAAATCCAGTTCTTAAATCGTTTTCTTCGTCTTTGAATGTGGAAACCACTCAGCAGCACATGAAGCAGAGTTTGCAGGTGTTTCCATACACAGCACAGGGATTTAAACCTGCAACCTGGAGACCTGCTCTGCATCTGGCTTGTATTACTGACACCAGTCAATCCCACTCCACCTCCACCCACCGGCCCACCAACCAAACCACCTACCCCTCACCCCGATCTCACCCATTTCTCTCAGTCTTTTAGCATACAGCTGCAGAAACACTGGTTTATGCACAATGGACTAATAGGGTCAACCTGTTCTAATTCATCAATTACTTTCTATGAGGATGTTACCCTGCACTGGACACACACACACACACACACACACACACACACACACACACACACACACACACACACAGATGTATTAGAACAAGCCCACACCAAGTTTATAATAGTTTTGTATTTTTCATATTTACTTTTTTGAAAATGTTTAGTTTTAGTTTATTTTTCATTTTTTTCAGTGTTAGTTCTAGTTTTTTGTAATATGAAGTTTTTGTCTGGGCGAGGAATCAAAAAGGTCAGAAAAAGTATAAAAACAAAATATCAAACCATTAATTGTGTTTACTGAGGAGAGGTGAACAGCATCCACAAAAGATAATTATGATAGATGTGTGTTTGTGTCATTAACCAGAAACATTCCACTGGTGTCTATCCCAGAAAGGTTTAGTGAAAACTCTGAGTTTCTTAATAATGAAATGAGGGAAACTCTGGGTTCTGCTCCAGAAAACTGAGATCACTTTATCTTTGCCGGGGTAACTGACTATCTGCTCGCTGGCAAGTTTTCTTAAACACCCCTGAGTTTCTGTCTGTCTCGACCCCTCCGTTGGAAGAAGATTGAATCCCGATTAGACATTTGTTTGTAACCCATAACCTCTTTTATGATCGAACAGTCAGTGTGAGGACATAGACAGATCTCTGGCATTCAGATATTACATATGGAGACTTCATCCTAAAATCAGGTTAAATCTGCACAGTCCATCTTTATAACACTCAGACTCTGTGGACATTAAGACACCTGTCAGATTGTCAATCATTTCCTCTGCACTGAAACAACAAAATTGTCCAATAAAACGATACTACAGAAAACAAAAATACAAAGATCGACCATGGTTCACGAAGGGATTACGAAATGCCTGTAAAAAGAAAAATACACTATATAGAGAATTCATAAAACTAAGGACTAAAGAGGCAGAAAAGAAATATAAAAACTATAAAAACAAGTTAACCAATATTATAAGGGTATGTAGGAGAGAATACTATACTAAAATATTATATTATAACAAAAGCAATATTAAAGGAATATGGGACATATTAAATAGTATTATTAAAAATAGTGCTAAACAACAGAGCTACCCTCAATATTTTATTGATAATAATATTAAAAAGGACAATATGGATGATGTGGTAAATAGCTTTAATCATTTTTTTGTAAATGTTGGACCAAACCTGGCAAGAAAAAATCCAGATCCAATGTTATCTGAGGATTGGAATGATAACCTTATAGTGAGAAATCCCAGTTCAATGTTCCTTACAGCAGTGGAAGAAAAAGAAATAATAGATATAGTAAATAAATGTAAATACAAAACATCTACTGATTCAAATGAAATTGATATGAAAGTTGTAAAAAAGGTCATTGAGGAGATTTCTGAACCACTTACATACATCTGTAACTTATCATTCCAAACCGGAAAATTTCCTAACAACATGAAAATAGCTAAAGTTGTGCCGCTGTATAAAAATGGGGATAGACACCACTGCACAAATTACAGGCCAGTTTCTTTACCTCCACAATTCTCCAAAATTCTAGAAAAACTATTCAATAACAGATTAGACAAATTCATAAACAAACATAAATTACTTTTTATTTATTTATTTATTTTCTACTTCTTTTTTTTTTTTTTCTCTTCTATCTTTTGTATGTAAATATATACTGTATGTTTGGGGAGAAAGATTGATAATTGAGTTGTGGAGAAGGGGTAGGTTTGAATAAGCATATGCTTCATCCTACTCCTTTTCGGACATGTTGGGGTCACATTATTATTTTTGTTTTGACTATTGTTATTGGATTGTTTTTTTTTTTTAAGTTTACTTTGTTGTGTTACTTGCACATGTTCGAAATAAACTAAAAAAAAAACTAAAAAAAAACATTTACTTTACATTCATCACTGTAAAAAAGAAAAGCTGTGTGAAACTTTAGACACGGACTCTGATCAATGAGAAATCATTTATCATGTGCTGATTGGTCTCACTGATGAACAGTCCTATCATAGCTGTCATATCATGCTGTAGATGATGATACTTCTGAGTGAGGATGACAGTAATGCAGCTAAGAAGACTTTAACATTTAAAAACTGGACTAAATGTAGTCTAAAAGTGAGGTTTTGAACATAGATTGCAGAAAGTCTGAATCTGTTACAAGAGCATTTCAGTCACTGTATATTAATGTACTACACATATACAAATACAGTCATTGATGCTGTTAAGCAAGATTTTTAAATGTAGACATCTGAGAATTTACACTCAGTTTTAATCTCGATGCTTTTTCAACTGAAAATCACCAATCAGTGGGAGTTCATGGCTCATGGCTCGTTTTAAGATTCAGTTTTCATATACAGGCTGTGTACATTTCTCTATGGATTGAACGCTTTGATACTTTCGCAGTATTAATACAGAACCTAGATCTGCTTTTTAATAATAAAAAAACAAGGAGATGTAACTTTCTACAATATGGGCCCTTTAAGAGAACAGACCTCATTCTTGTCTTCCAGCCAAACATTACATACATCCTGACTCTTTTTACACAAGAAAGGAAAGAATTCTTTAGTGACTGCCTCCCCTTACAAAGACATGTATAAAGCATTTCACCTCCTGCCTCTGTGTGTGTGTGTGTGTTCCTGTGTCTCTCTGTGCTACTGATGTGCTTTTATGTTTTGACATTTTTTGTAAAAGAGAAGAAGAAAGAGGAAGAGGACAGAGAGAAAAGCTGTACTGGGATGTTGTGTACCAGGATGAGACAGAGAGTCAGCGTTGAAGTGGAAGCTAACATTTCTCACCCTGGTTTCTCCAGGTTTCTACTTCCTGTGACATCATCACACCATGCCTGAGGGGTCACGGCGTGGCAGCCAGCGATCGCCTAGTACCACAGGTAAAAGAGAAGGGGGTAAGTTAGCAGTTTTCATCAAACAAGCTCTGATAGATCTGTTGTCCACTACCTGCTCAGCAGACAGTCACATAGTGGAGCATTTAGCAGCTAGAGATCCAGATATGTCCCTCAGGAGTTGGTGGAGAGTTGGTGTCATCATAACACTGTACATTTTACTGTAAGTGAATAATTCTGTATAAAGATTATTGTCAACAAATTGTGAATCTTTTTTGTCAAAGGTAAAGACTAATGTGGGTCAGGTAACAGGGTCAAGAAGAGTGGTTTGCCCCATGACAGACAGAATCCATGTGGTTCTGTGGTGCAATGGACTTCTAAGTTGGACATCTATTCAAGTGTGGCAGAAAAGATTGTGGGTTTGAGTCCACAGTCGCCTGTCATTGTCTGAACCTTGGCAGAAATGTACCTACTTTCAGAATTATGTCAAACATCTGCAGGTTGTGGGTTCATGAAACCTCATTAAAGCCTTAACCATCAATGATGTGGCATTTCAGCACTTTTCCAACGTGGTGTCGCAAGCTGAACTCAGAGACATGAGGGAATGTGAGAGCCAAGTATAACTTACTGTTTATTTTCTGCTATAAAGTAATACTTCTGTATGAAGTTCTGTAAATGGGAATGGGTTTGTGAGTACAATTGAATGAATGGAATTGTAAGAAATAGAATCATCAAAATTACAGAAAACTAGAGTCTCAAAAAGAAATTGAAATTTTCCATTGAGCAGAACTTTCAGCTCACAAGAACACAAGAAAAGTGGCACATAGGTTGTAGGTTTCAGTCCTATCAGTCTGTCAGTGCACATCTTGCATCAGTTATATATATATCATAGCAAACCAAGTCGAACTGAAGCAAGAAACATGAGTAAAACATGGCTCTGTGGCGCTATGGATAGCGTGTTGGACTTCTAGACAGTAACAGCACAAGTGATTCAGAGGTTGTGGGTTTGAGTCCCTCCAGGGTCAAACTCTTTACAGATGCAACATTCATTTACAGACAAAAAGCTCTATAGTCATGTTTTTTCTCCACTGATGGAACATTACCGGCATTTCATTCTACCATCAAAATAAGGAAATAGTTGACCTTCAAGCCATTGATAATTAACATTATGTCATCTCATCTTCAGTTTCATGCATATAATGTTCTTCAGTTCTCCTTGGATTTCTATATTTGAAGTGTCAATGGTGTCTGGAATTAGTGGACACTAATGTCCTTCAAAACTAGCTTTGATTGGTTAGACAGCTCCAGAGGTTCTTTCCATATGAAACATATGGAAAGAACAGAAATGTACATTTTTAATGTAGTTTTCTCTATTTCAAGTTCCAAATTGCAATTCATAAACAGGTTAAACATAAATAAAAATAAAGGCTGATGCAGGTCAAGAGAATTCAGGTTTTGCCCCATGTATTAGCCCATTAATTGCACTGAAGTACTGAAGTATCTTTAGTGCTAACCAAAAAGTAGTAATAAGATACTAACATCTAAGTAGGTCCGATGAGTGGTTGTCTTGAATAATTCAGGGAGTGAATTAATGTATGGTTGAACACTGACAATTTATTGCCTCACAACTTATACACAATACACAAATCAAAAGAAATAGTCCACTTTAGTTCACCCATTGTTCCTTTAATCCATAGGTACTCCTTATGATTAAAGAGCTTAAAAGTTTACTTCAAAGTTGTTTCTTGTTGTATCTGTTCCAAGTGTCTAATAGTGTCACTACTATTACTACCAGGGTAGGATAATTAGTGTGTGTGGTCTTATCTGTAATTAGATGAAAGAATGTATCAAATCAACTCAGACGTCCTCTGAGGGCAGTGCCTAAGGTTGGCCAACACCGTTTCTCCAACCGTTCACAGGGTCACGGGCTGGGCTCACCATCTTTGATTCTTCAAATTCTAGCTGGTCACAAAAAAGCAACCTACACAGTTAGTGCAGGATAATAAGTTATTTTGTTCTCTTTATGTGTCTAGGATGAGATTTCATTAAATTCTTTTCTCTCTCAGAATATCGTACATTGTATAACCAACAATTAAGGATATATTTGTACTTTTTAACAACAACTGGTATTTTTAACATGAACAATTTACCATGAATTTCTTTAAAACAGATGTCTTTTTCACTTTAACAATAATTTATTTAGAACGAATTTTCCCTGTCACATCAACATTTGTTTTCTAACAGTAACAGATTGCTTATTTTGAATTTCTTATGTCAAAACAATTAGTATTTTAACATTTACATTAATTATTTGCTGTATTGTTACATTTTTATGCACTATTTTAATATAATGTTAACTTAATCATGAAAATGAACTAAATGATCCTTTATGATTTGCTAAACATGTACATTTATTAACCAAAATCTGTTAAATTAGCATCTAATGGCATTACAAAACACTGAAGTGCATAACTACATTAAAACTTAATGATTTTAATGTTAAAAAAACGGTGCAATGGTCCTTTAAAGTTTTGACACGGTACTGGTCGCTACGTTAGCCAGA